CATGCTTAGCATTTATAAAACTTTTTTTTTAAATCTTAACTAGTTTATTTTTAATTTATTTAATATATATATAAAGTTAGAAATAAGTATTATTCCTTTAATTTTAATATACTTACAATCAGTAAACTATTAATAATAATAATAATAGTTGTTTATGTAGAAAACAAATTTTTTGTATAATATAAATATATAAATATTTTAATGATTAATAAAATACATATTGTTATGTTTAGATATAGATGTAAATTATATAYTGTATATTATATCTAAATTAGCCGATGAATATAAAATAATGTTAAAAAATTATTTGTATTATTATACACCTTTATTATTGACACATTATAATATTATAATAATAATAAACTAACTATAGCTTGAAAAATGTTTTTAATGATTTTTTTAAACATAAATTGAAAATATTATTTAGTTGACTAAAAAATATATATTACTAATTATTATTATATAACAAAGCAATAATATTACATATGAAAAAAATTCATAAATTAATTTATTTATAATATAATCATTAAAAAAAATAAATAATAATTATCTTGTTTACATGTTAGCTAAAAAATGATATTATTATTTCAATATTTTTTAAATAGCCATTTAATATATATAATTTTTTATTAGTCTAATATTTTCAAAAATGCTATTGTTAATATAAAATTCAACCATGTTAACTGATATTAAAAAATATTTGCTTGATCATATAAAACTAAATATTTTCATATCCATATCTATATGTATGCCATTGTGTTTGTATCAATTATATTGTGTATCGGATTATTATTTACAATACAAGACATCGATATCTTTAACATATGACAACTCGGCACTGATATCCATACCTGGGCTGACCGTATGTATTGGCAAACAATATCTAATATCAGATGAGTTTCTCGCAAACAACTCTATCGGCCGAAAGGATCGGTTCAATAGTACAACACTTGAACTGTTTAATCAACTGTCTATTGAACAACAGGTACAGTCAATGTATGGCTATAACACAATATTTCCCAAATTTAACGGTTGTCTGGTTTTAACACCCGATGCCTATAACAACAACCGGAAAAACTCTACTATATATCTGCCATGTAATAAATTGGTACCGGTGCAACCATCATTGGACTACTATACAATGTGCTATACATTTATGGAACAGTTGACTAATAATACTGATGATGATGATGATGATGATAATGATGAGCATGGTAAATTATTTACTATCGATAACAATAGTAGAAAGTTTATGGGCGGTAAGGGCAATATAGCCGGCTTATTTATGAACACATCGATCGGGGCCAGTCAACTGTATATGCATGCCCGTCGGGAACAAATACTGACCCGGGAGGATCCTAAATTATTACATCAAAGTGCACTGTTAGCCTACAGGCCCTACTGGATCAATATGATATCCTATCATAAGAAAATTGTCCGCTATCTGACCCGACCGTACGAAACTAATTGTTTCGACTACCGGTCGATTGGCTATCAGTCCCAATGGGCCTGTCTATTCCGGTGCAAACTGGATACCCTGATCAAATTTGATGGTCAAAATGATAGATGGCCTAGCATTTATTTGACCAGAAATTTAAGCCGCCGGCTATATTTCTTTTATTTAAATCTAATGTATTACGCCCAACACGAACAAGTGAATAGACAGTTGGCACTGGTATGTCGTCGGCGGTGTCCCATTGAAATTGATTGCCTATTTGAAGAGTATGACATCCGAGTCCATCGGTTCTATAATCCCAGTTCAATTGATTACGATAGTATGGCCCTAATATTGGCACCGTCCCAATCGGCTAAGCTAACCCAGTATCATCCGCGTATCGAGTTTGTCGAGTTTCTCATCTACCTGGGCAGCATAGTTAGCCTATGGTTTGGCATTTCAATTATGACTGTTACCGATAGTGGCGTAAAATTTTCAAAAACATTGTTTGTTAAATTCAATAATCAGTTTAATTCACATAAATCTACAAATGTTTTAACTACTAATAAAAATAATAAGATTTAATCACTAAAATAAGTTTTTTTTAAAGTTTAAAAAATAAAATAAAATCATAATCTAATAAATTTAATTTATAAATATCAAATGAATTATCTAAAATTTAAAAAAAAAAATTATCAAAAATGTAAAATTAATGTAATATTTTGACACACAAACTAAATTATAAACCTATTTTAGTAATAATAAAATAAATAATACTACTATTTGTCTATTAATGTATTAAATTTTATATTAAATTATTGTAATTAGTAATGTTAATTAAATTTTAATCAAACTTTTAGCAATAAACTTGTAATTTATATTATAAAATATTTGTTAGTTTATAATAATTTATCAATTAATACTTGAGTTATATAAAGTAATTAAGTAAATAAATAAAAAAATATTTTAATTATTAGTATAACAACATTACTTTAATATACAAATATTATAATCATAACTAACAGTTTATAATGCTTGTAAAAAGTTTAAATCTATGATTATTTTTATAAATTTTAATATTTATAATGTGTAAAATTTATTAATAATAATTGTTTTTAGTATAAAATATTAGCATAAAAATATTATAATAAATAAAATTACATATTAAATCGTTATTAAATGTAAATAGATATATGTAAATTGTATTATCAGTGAATCAATTTAAAAATAATTGTATAATATAAAAATTATTTGTAATATATATATATACTGTAATATATAATAAAAGTTACATATAAATATTTTATTGATTATTAAAAAAAATAATTATTTAATTAAAATAATACATTGATTAGATCAATACACTTAATACAGATAATATTTGTAAGTTAAAGTCACTTTATATATTAAATATTTATTATATATATTAATCACAAAATTTAATTTCTTAATGATTTTGCAAACAATAAACATAATTATAAAATATAAATAATTTAAGTAAACCATAAAATTGTTATACCTTTACAATATATATATATAACTTTTAATAATACTTGTATTGCTTTTATTACTACAATCTACCTGGGCAGCATAGTTAGCCTATGGTTTGGTATATCAGTAATGACTGTCACCGATAGTGTCGCAAAATTTTCAAAAACATTGATTTTAAAATTCAATCAAAATCAATTTAATTCATACAAATCTAGAAATTTTTTTATTATAAATAAAAATAATAGGATTTCACCTTAAATTATTTTTTTAAATAAAATGATAATCTAATAATCATATTATTTAAATTATAGTATTTAATTTATAAATATCTAATGAATAATTTGAATTGTTTAAAAAATGTTTAAAAATGTAACTAAAATGTTAAATTAATGTAATTTTTTTTGACACACAAACTAAATTGTAAACCTATTTTAGTAGTAGTAATAATAATAAAATAAGTAATACTATTATTTGTCTTTTATTGTAGTAACTAAATACTGTAATTTATTATATTATTTTAATTGTACTACAATTTGTAATATTATTTAAGTTTTAATCAAACTTTTAGTAATAAACTTGTAATTTATATTATAAAATATTTGTTAGATTGTAATAATTTATAAAATAATTAATTAAGTAAATAAAAAATAAGTTAATTATTAGTTTAATATACAAAAAATATTATTTTATTTAATATACCTTAATTTTTATAAAATATTTTAATATTATAATCATATAACTAACATTTTATAATGCATGTAAATATTTTAAAACTATGATTATTTTTCTAAATTTTAATATTTATAATGTATAAAAATTTTGAATATTAAAATTTTTTAAGTATAAAATATTTGCATAAAAAAATTATAATAAATAAAAATACATATTAAATCGTTATTAAATGTAAATATATATCAATATATGTAAATTGTATTATCAGTAAATCAATTTAAAAATATTGATAAAAAATATTTATTGACATCCCATTACATTATTTAGTTTAATAAATCTTATAAAAATATTTTTAATATTAACTAACATTAACAATTTATACTAATTTTTTTGCAAATAAAAATGTAGTAAATAGATTTATCAGTTTTTATTTTGTAGTCATAATATAAACTCATAAAGTAAAATTAGAAATTAAATTTTTTTTTAAATAATTGTATAATAAAAAAATTATTGTAATATACAGTATTATATGATAAACATAATTTATATTTAATATAAGTTAATTAACAAAAAAATCTAATATTAGATATTTTTATAAAAGATATATTTTTAATTATAATTATAATAATATCAATAGTAGTGATTAGTATTATTGTTATAATATAATTATTATTACTATCATAACATATTCTGACATTTAATAGTTAATTGTTTTATATAATATTATATTTAAATATTAAACAAAAATTATAATAGTAATAATAGTTTATCTATTGATTTTTTTGTGATTAAATAATTTTATTCAAAATATCATAATAAAAGTTACATATAAATATTTTTTATGATTATTTAAAAAAATAATTATTTAATTAAAATAATACATTGATTAGATCAATACACTTAATACAGATAATATTTGTAAGTTAAAATAACTTTATATATTAAATATTTAATTATATATTAATTACATTTAATTTTTAATGATTTTGCAAACAATAAACATAATTATAAAAAACAAATAATTTAAGTAAACCATAAAATTGTAATACCTTTACAATATATATATATATATGCAATAGATATAACTTTTTTATAAACTATTGTTAAGTTTATTAATACTTGTATTTGTACTTTAATAACAACAAAGTAGACAATATATTGATACATAAAAAATTTTTATATAATTATTAAATATCATTAATGTATTTTAATTAATACCACTAACACAACAAAAATAAACATTATCTTGATTATAAACAAAAAAATAAATTTAAAAAAAACAATTCAAACAATTTTAATTAAATAATATCAATAATAATAATAGACATAATAATTATATCATATATTTTATAAATAATTTTTCAACAACAAAAAAATGATACAGTAATATACTGTATAATAATTATAATAATTTTATCATTAATTTTTTTATAAGATAGATAAATCAAAATTGTTTTTTTCAAATAAATTTTTAAAATAATAAAAAAAATTTAAAACTTTGAATACGGATTATTATTATCATTGCTTAGACCGTACTTTTGGCGGATCTGTTGTCTTTGCATTTCCCGCTGTTTACGGCGTTCCTCGTGTTCGGCACTCATATCCTGGCGCTGTAGTTGCCAACGATCCCATTGACGGGCCAGTTGTCTGCGTCGACAATCGCGACAACAGGCGCACAACCAACAGCATAGACAGACACCGACTACAACCAGGGATAGGCCTACCGATAGTAGTACTATCAGGAGTGTACGTGAATTGACCAGACAGGTACCGTAAGCAGTGTCCTCGGGTTTACCGGCTGCACACTGGCTGAACGGATGCAAACCTTTCAAATAGACCAGACATGTATTGTTGGGCTTACAGTAGTAGCACCCGGTGTTTGATACACAATCGCCGCACGAGTTGTTATGGCCGTGACATATGGCCTCCGGGGTTAGGGTAGTGACGCTGATCTCAGTTGTTTGTTGCTGTACTATTTGGCCAGTTATGATGGTAGTGGTGGTGGTTGATAATAGGCATACTACGAGCACCGGTAGTATTGTTTGGACAGTATGTCCTGAATATTGTCTATTGAAAATCATTTTTTTTTTGAATATTTTTTTTAGGTGTGTATGTGTTTTAATCACATGTATATAAATAAATCACTAATAAATATATTTCGTATACTAATATTGTATATATTTATTTAATTAATTAAAAATTATTAGTATTATTATTATTCAATATATATATTTTTTTTGTCATACATTACATTTACAATACGACATAAAATATAATTGCAATTGTTTTACATCACATCAAAAAAAAACAAATGTCAGTTTTATTGAGTTATTTTTATTATTAAACAAATTATAAATTTATTTTATTGTAATAAAATATGTCTATTGTTTGATAAATATACTAAATATTATTTATTTTTTTATAAAAAAATATGTAATCTATACTACAGTATATACATGTTATCATGGTCATATAATGTACACTGTATATACATGTGTATATTTATATATAGTGGAAATTATATTTTTTTATATGCTACTATAGTAACCTAACATTATATATATACTAATAAATATCATATATATATATATATATATATACATATTTCATATTTTTTTAATACTAGTATATACTGTATCATTAAATGCTTTGTTGGCAACTTTGATAAAACTAATAATAATAATAATAATTAAATTCAATGTTATATAGTCTAATATGACTAATCATGCTTGTTTTTATTATTAGCTAAAAAAATAAAATATACTCATTATTATTATTATTTTTATAAAAAATATTAATCATAAAAATAACGTTATTTATTTATTTATTTATTAGTATTAATTAATATTAATAATTATTTATTAATTATTAATCAAAAAAAATAAATAAATAATAATTACTAGAAATATTGTTATATACAGTAGAATTATTATTTATATATGATTTAATGATATTTATTTTAATTAAATAATACAAACATTAATAATTTAACATTAGTTATAAATGAATAATTTTATATATTAATTTATTTATTTATAAAATTAAATTTTTTAGTTTATTTAAAAGTTAAATATAAATACTAATAATTTTTTTTAAATATATATATATACAGTATATATTGTTTATTTCTAGGTTAAAATTATCAATTTAAACATCAAAATTATATTTACTGTATATCTTTATAGTCGATACTAGTATTATCGATATAGTGATACAATATATTACACACACACACACACAAAGTTAATACAAAGTTTTTTTTGTTTGTTTGGTTTAAAACTAACATTTGTATGCAACAGATACAGTATATTATATTATATATACAGTATATAACTTTAAATTTAGAAAAAAAACAATTTGCTAATAGATTATTATTATTATGTAACACACCTATTATGACAAAAAATTTATATATATATTTTGTTTTTGTTTACAAACACACACACACACACACACACACACACACACACACACACGCAGAGTGTATCTACCGGTATAAACACACAGTATAAATATACTGTATATACAATCTTAACATTTTTGTCTAATACTATACTTAAAAAATAGATATTTATTAGTTTTCATACAATATTGTTAATAAAAAAAAATAATATTTTAGTTATGCTAAAAAAACATGTTTTACTAAGTTATATGAAACAAAATAAAAAAAAATCAAGAAACATAATACAATATAATAACTATATATTTATTATATTTCATAACATATAGCACACCGATTTGTGATTTGTTATTATTATTATTATTATTATATATAATTTATTTTTAATACAACTACAATAATAAAAAAAATAATTGTATAATCGTTTACTCTAAATATCATTTGTGATTTTTTTTATACATAACATTTAACTGTATGTTATTATTTTTTAAAAAATATATAAAATTATTATATAATAATATAATACTTAATATTAAAAAAAAGTAATTTTCAACTAAAGTATATGATTTATATAAATTATTATTATTTATTAAAAAAAATTATTTGTTTGTTGTGTATAACTATATATATATATTTATATATACAGTGTATATATACAGGTATATTATTATCATGTGATGTCAAGTCTATAATTGTCGATTTATATCCGTTTAATACAGTATATACACGTATAGCTATGTGTGCGCCACAAAAAAATCATCCATAAAAAAACCTGCCGGTGCTCAATAAAGCAATAACAAAGTTATATATATATATATATATTCAGGTATATATAAGTTCAAAATCAGGAATAACTATAAAACAATTTAAATATATATATAATAATAATAATAATAATAAATGCATTGATAATTAAACGATGTGTGACAGTGCCAATGGTGCCCAACAGTGCACACAAAAAAATATGCTAATAATATAATAATAATAAAAAAATTGTCAATTATTTAATCACTTATACTGTATATACTGTATATAAACTTTGCTTAACTATTTTTTTTGTATACAATATAATATTTATTAATTTTATACAATTTTCGCAACAACAACGACAACAACAAAATTTATTTTTGTTAATTAAAATGCTATCAATTTATAAATTTATATTTTTTTTGTCTGAAAAATTTATCTTAATTTATCATATCTTTTAAAAATATTATTTATTTTTTAAAAAAAATAATTTATCATCATAGTCTATAATAGCATATCTATTATACCGGTATATATATATATGTTAAAATTTTTGTGTGTTATATATTCAATATATATATATACTTTATATTTATGCTTAAAAACACCTGACTATCTATTCATCTATAAAGTTAGATATACTAGTGCTTATATAAATATTTTATATTATATACAGTATATATATATTTGAGGGCCAAATCAATTTTCTCAACACACACACACACAACATATTACTGTAATAATAATAATAATAATAATAATAATTTTTATGTAACTCATCAGTGAAGCACCGGTACTACTACTACAGTCAATCTACCGTTACACTCATTAATCGGTCGGCAAAACAAAATTATTGTGATTTTTTTTTAAATATATATAACTATTTTACTTATATTTTTTTTGTTGCTTAAACTTTTGTTGTTAAATGCTCTCATCATTTCCCACTAAAACAACAACAACAACAGTGTATATATTTTAATATATTTGGGGGGAAAACAAAAAAAAATATCATATTTTTTTCGGTGCCATTGACTTTATTTTTTTGTTTTTGTGAAACGCCACTAATTTTTGCTAATGATTTTTAAAACAATAGTTTTAGTAAAACTTATATCTCATTTAAACAGTTTTTAAAAAGACTGTGAACTTACTGTATATATGGTTCACAAATACATACCGTTCCTCTATTTAGTAGGTGTTTGTTATATAATACAATAACAATATTACAGGTAATCAAACGAAACAAACAAAATGTTTAACCAAAAAATCTCAACAATTTTTATACAATATCTGTATGTGTAATCGTTAATTAATTGTGGGATTAATTTGTAATTAAAAATATAATTAATATTATTTTAACTCAATTGATTGATTGTTTGGTTATTCAATTATAGTTATCTCAACAACAAAAAACAATAAGTTTTTATGGAAAATAAATAAATTTATAAAATTTAATTTTTTTTAATAAAAAAAATTGTATCTACCTGTCCACTGGTCTATTTGAAAAAATAAGTTTAAACTATGCCATAATTTTTTTGTTAATAAATATATGATATTCAAGTGCTATTTATAGGATTTATTTGTTGTGTAAAATAATTAAATGCAATTATAATAATAATAGTCATGATTTACTTAGTGGGCAAACAATATGCCAAACGGGCGGCACTGGGTGTCTGTGTCGGGTGGCTAATAAATGTACTGTTAGTTTGTTTACTAATAAATATACAGATTATTATTGTGTCCGCCGATGATAGTTCACTACAAAACAATATTACAGGTAATTATAATAATAATTTTTTTTATTGTTAATGTATTGTCAATAAGTTTTAGCTTAATATTGTTAATACATTACATAATATAAGTTATTAGAAATATTTTTTATTAGCAATACTAACACTTTAATATTAGTTTTTTATTATTATTTATTAATTAATAAAATAATTGTATAATAATTTTAATAAAAAATAAAATAAAATCTTTTATCAGTTATTCAAAAGTGCATCAAAATATATATTTAATTAAATAAAAAATATTTTTAATTAAATATAATACATATTTTTTGATGATAAATAAATAAGAAATATTTAATTTAAATATTTTAGTAGTAGTTTTTAGTAAATATTTTCATTGAATATTTTCAATAATTTTTAAATAAATATTTTTTGATGCACTAACTAATTAATCATAATTTTTTTTTATTAGTTTATATTATAATAATATTAATTAAATTTTTTTCCAAAATACAACAACAATTAACACCAATTATCAACAAAATCGATACAATTTATAGCCAAACATCTAATAAACGATCGTAAGAATGATAAATATAATCGATTTTTCAATAAATATTATAATATTAATAATAAAATTGATGACAAACTACTCTATACTACGGCTCCAAACCGATCCCAATCCCAAACCATACCAGAGCTTCGGCATACAGGCCAACAACAACCACAACAACAACACATTAAGATCAACCATCGGTTCAATGTATCGCTCATTGTGGCCGACAAACCTAATCATACGGTACCATATCATCATAATATGCCATACCATCTAAACAGTAAAGACCAGACCAACAACAAAAACATAGATACCGTTACCTATTACAAGCTGCCGGTCAATGAGTTTACGGAACTACATTCAGATGACGGGGTGGTGGCGGTGGTGGAGGACGACAGTGATGTTGTTGTTGATGACATCAGCGGCACTGACCTACATATTGCTGGCAGTGGTGGCGATGATGACGATAATAATAATGAAGATAATAATAATAATAGTAATCTAATGCATATCAATGTTCATCACAGCAATCATAATGTTAACAGCAATAGTAAAATCAATAATAATAGGAATAATAATAATAAAAATAAAAATAGCAATCATAATAATCACAAAATAATAAGCAATCATAATACTAATAATGATGATGATGATGATAATATTAATTATTATAACAAAAATAATCACAAAAATAATAATAATAATAAAGAGTGTAAATGCAAATGTA